GCACACGGCCTCAATTGAAAACAATAATTTCATTTTCTATATTGAAATACACACTTCGATGTTGGTGGGAGGCCAGCAGCGCCGATTTGATTCATAGCAAGCCATAAATTTGAACACACACAATCATAAAATGCAGTCACATTTTACTTGCGCTATCTGGCAATTGATAGCTTTCTGCTGGAGTGCCATAAAACTCGGCGAAATAGCCCACTACTGAGCAATTGACTGTGAACATTAAATGGCATATTAATGTCACATTTATTTCCAACAATAATGCAATATTAACGAGCACAAATATGCATGCAATAATAAAATCGCTTGCGTTGTATTTGTTGTGTTTGTTGTTGTATCTGTAATGAAGTCATTATCATTCATAACTGTAGTGAAATTACTAAAAGTGCATAATTGGCCATTGGAGCTGATCGCTCGCCGCGAGTGTCAATTACTAGTAATGTACTTAAGTACCATATGTAATGATATTGTTATGTCGGAGCGCCATGCGATTGATCCGATCCGCGCTAGTATGCTTACTCGCGCTTAAATATTTTGCCAATATTAATGTCAAATTGCATTCCTGAAATTATACGGTGAAGCTGTGAGCAAGCACATTGGATAAGCTGCGTTTGGACCCGTGGGGTTTGTCAGCTGCATTAGTGACATCGCTAATACGGTATGACATTTTATCAAGTTTAAAATGATTATTTAGTGCATATCATGTGTGTGAGTGACTGCATACAGTGAGATGAGTTCAAAAGTCCCTGTTGACGCCAAGTTTCTGAAATATTTCGGAACACTTCCTAAGTTCATTCGTTCCTTTTAGACAAAGATGTCAAAGTAAATCCGAATTGCAATTTGAGATGTGATATGTTTGTTTTTTTTTTTTTTTTTAAGATGGTACGATACATAATTTTTGAAAAGTAGTTTCGAAAACACCTTGTGTGAAGTTGAAAGTGAACATACGCTTGATGGCAACCGATTGGGATGTTTCGATGCAAGAAATGAAAATAGCTATATCCTCATAAATAGTAGCAACTTTCACAAATCGCCTTTAATAGTTATAATGTATTAGAAAGCTTTGGAAGTTTTAAAAATTATTGTTTCAGAAATTCCTACACTAGATATTGTACTTACCAACCTCACATACTACTATGAGCAAAAAATAATAAAACTTTGTTAATAATTTTTAAATTATTAAATCATTCATCAAAATACACTTGTGCCAAAGTTTTTTCCAATCCTCGAAACAGTTTTGAAGTCAAGTTTTCGGAATAGCTTTCAAAGGGCTACACGATTATTGTCTTCAATTGACTCAATATRGTTTCCCCGAATCGATCGTGTAAGTTTGCTGGATAGCCAGAAGTAACATGTAGTTAAAWCAGGCGAATACGGTGGTTGCGGCATAATGTTGGTTGAAAATTTGGCGAAATTCAAGAAGAATCTATGCGATATGGGATAATGCATTATTGTGATTCAAAAACAAGGAGTTGTGGACCATAACTCCGGCCTCTGTTTGTGAATAGCTTCGCAAAAACGACGCATAACACTTAAATAGTATTCCTTGTGGACAGTTTGGCCGGTCGGAAGAATTTCGAAGTGCACAACACCTCGATAATTAAAAAAACCAACTTTTACATGGATTTTTCGATTTCGGCTCGCCTTTTTGATATTCGACCGATTGACCGTCTGTCTCCGGCTAGTTAGCATAGACCAAAGACTCAGCACCAGTAATAATACGCTTCATGACAGTTTGATAGTRGTAAAGCACTGTTTCACAGACGTAAGCTTTCCAAAAAATTTGTGTGATTTTAGAACCAATCGAGCTTACACTTTTCTTTAGACCCAATGATTTTTAGACTGGTTTTCTATGATCTCTTCGATATTCAAAAGATGGCATTAAGARMTCTGACTGTTWATCAACAACTCWCAAGCCCCTATTTCTTTATKTTRTTGACGTGGTGWTCATCAGTTGWTGTTGATAGCCGTCCTGGAAGTGGTTCGTCGCCACCCCGTTCTCGACCCTCTTTGACTAATTTGTACCAATCAAAAACACTTGCACGCAACATTGCAACATYCTGCATGTTTCGGCGCTAGAACATTGAATTCCTCACACAAAATTTAAAGTAATTCCTTTGCCGAGTAATTTCACTYATCGTAAAAATCGTCAAATGCGAAAAAAAAATATGTTTTCGAATTGCTTTTCGCGCGACCACTGACTATTTACTTACTTACTATTTTTGCCGACAGTAGTAACTTACAGTTCAAATAAAAGTAACAATTCGTATACTGTTTTTATTGGAAAATAAGCTGCGTCAAAGTGTTTAGATAAAAAGAAAGCTRCTTTAAAGAGTGAGAGCAACAAAGTTACTACGGCTAACCTCTTTATAGCCGGACCTGAAGCGAAAGCCATTGCAGAAGCGGACGACAAGCTGCTTTACTGCTGTGCAACATTTTGTATTTATATTTCTCCCCCTGACAATGTTTACAGTTATTGAAACTTATAATAAACACACGCTTTTGCTTTGCTCTCGTTTGCACCAACACTATTGTAAACATATCACAACTTTTGCATTTTTTGCCCGCGCGCCAAATGGAAGACTGCAAGTGGCTGCTTCGCACTTGTGCAAGCGGGTGTTCGTTTGTGCACTCAMATCGTTTGTCACATTGCAACTCCATAAATTTCGATTTTTCGCTGCTAAACAACAATTTTATGTATCAATATTTCTTGATGTTACAACAAAGTTGGGGAGCTACAAATTGTACCGTTACTAGTGCATGAGTTCCTAGACATGTGTGTGCTCTTCGTGTATTCGAGAAAAAAGTTTATGATAAATTGAGCGCTGAAAGCGTGTGCTTGCAGCGTCACGTGTGAGCGGAGCTGASTAAATAAAATATGACAACATTAAATTTGTTGCAAGCACTCGCACTTGCCTTCGACTGCTGCCATATTGCTTGCAAGGCGCTTCTAATGCCCAATCGCAGCAGAAACTCGTATTTTAGCCGGGAGCTTTAAGTTTGACAATTTCAACAGGTAGCTTTCGCGTTAAATCCTCGATATCAAAGTGATTGTACTTTATATCCTTCTCCACTTGTATATGATTTATCGTACACTATTCTTTGTCCTGCACATTTTTATCCACCCGCCCAAGGCAAATGAACTGCTAGCCGACTCCATTTAGTATACGGCATGTGGCACGTGACAAACGCAGTAACGGCATTGCGTAATTGCATTAAGCCTTTAACTGTGCTTTCGCATGTGCACAACGGGCAATTTGAATAGAGCAAATTTATGTATCTGCACTGAGGTTTATTGCATTAGATCTGAAAATTAGTTAAATAACTAAATTTCAACAGACGCACGTTGCTGTGTAGCCTTCAGGGCCATAAATTAAACTGGATTTTGCAGTACTCAGTGGAAGCAAAACATGGACATATTTAGGTTAAAGGTTCTACTTAGAACTTAGAGTAGATTTTCATATTCTTGAGTGCGTTGAATTAGCTTTTTATTAACATGGTTCGACTCTCACTGGTACTTCAACAGGAAAGCGATTAATTCATGAGAGTGAGAGCTTATGGAAGCTTAGTTTGGGCACTTCAATTCCACTTAGGCTTWAGACAACCCTGTTAACGATCGCAATACACTTCCGTTCAATCTACTTTCTATCGAAGGCTATAAAATGCTTAACATCTTCGTACTTTAGAAATGGTGCTTTTCAGTGAATTCTTTTTAAATTTGACATCACAATACTCACATCAAAACCTAACCAAGATTTAATGTTGTGGTTATATTACTAATATACCAATTTCGAATTAATACAATATATGGAAATAGAGTCAAAAAGATATTTCGTTCTGACTAGTTTTTCAATTTAAATCC